ATACCAGTAATCCTCTAGAGGAGCACAATGAGAATCCTCTAGAGACAATGCAGGACATGGATCTCAAAAGAACAATGATGAATATGATAAAAGAATTCAGTGAATTTAAAGAACACACAAACAAGGTAATCAAAGAGCTGAAGGAAGATAGGGATAAACTTCTGAATAAATTCAGAAAAGAGTTAGAAATATTGAAGAATACTCAGGCTGAAATGAAGAAGGAAGTGAAACACTCAGTAAGCCAATTAGAACCGACAAGAGAAAGCTTCAACAATAGGATGAATGAAATGGAAAACAGAGTATCAAGACTGGAAGACAAAGTGGATGAACTAGACCATTCAAGCAAAGATTATGAAAAATTTAAGAAATCACAAGAATGGAATATGCAGGAATTGTGTGACACCATCGAAAGACCAAACTTACGAATCATAGGCATACAGGAAGGAGAAGAATCCCAAGATAATGGCATGGACCAGATCTTCAACAGAATCATGGAAGAAAATTTGTCAAAATTAAAGAAAGACATGCCCATACAAATACAAGAAGCATATAGAACACCAAACACATGGGACCAGAAAAGAAACTCTCCAGGGCACATCCTGGTAAAAACACTATACGTACAAAACAAAGAGACAATTCTGAAAGTTGCAAAAGAGAAACGACAAGTCACATATAAAGGAAAACCCATTAGGATCACAGCTAACTTTTCAATGCAAACTACGAAAGCCAGAAGAGCCTGGACCAAAGTATTCCCAGTTCTAAATGATCACAGATGCCAACCCAGATTATTTTACCTGGGCAAAATATCTATTATAGTCGAAGGGGAAAGAAAAGTCTTCCATGACATAAATTTAAATGACCACAGATGCCAACCCAGATTACTATACCCAGCCAAAATGTCTACTATAGTTGAAGGGAAAAGAAAAATCTTCCATGACATAAATAGGCTGAAGGAATTCATGTCCACAAAACCAGCCCTTCAGAGAGTTCTGGAAGCAATACAAAGAGCTGAAGAAAGGAATGACTATACCCAAGGGGTTGCGGAAAGAAATTCAGCGAAGGTATAACTGGAAAAGTTACAGCGACATCATGAATGTAAATAGAAATAAAAATGACAGGATTCAATACTCATCTTTCATTAATAACTTTAAATATTAATGGACTGAACTCCCCAGTCAAAAGACACAGACTAGGTGAATGGATTAAGAAACAAAACCCATCTTTTTGTTGTCTGCAAGAAACCCATCTCACTTTCAAGGGCAGACATTATCTTAAAGTGAAAGGATGGAAAAAAATATACCAAATAAATGGTACTAAGAAAAAAGCAGGCGTAGCAATCCTAATATCGGACAAAATAGACTTTAAACTGAAACTAACCAGAAAAGACAAAGAGGGCTATTTCA